TCTTGGCACAGTGCCCAGTAATCATTAAATGTTTGCAGAAGAAGGCCATGAGAAATAACATGGGAAAACAGTACAGGAAAAGAAGAAAGGGAAATGGGATAAAAAAAAAAGGAAGTAAAGAGAGACAGCCATAATAAAAAAAAGAGAGATTGAAATGAAGAAGGATAGGAAAGAAGGGGAGGAAAGCAAACACATGCTCATAAATGAGAAGGTGTTTTTCAAATTGCACACCGACTCATAGCTATGAGGATCCCATTCATCTTCACTGGACATATGCTGATATGTTTGCCTTTCTGAGTTAAGGCAAGGCTGCTTTTCCATAAAGCCTTCTTCAGCCATCCAGACTCACTAACATCTTCTGCAAAGGTAAACATGTGACCACTTCCAAGTGGAGTCTCATGGCCAGCTCTTCTCTGTTCTAGTAAGATCAATAACTTATCTGGGTGACATATTACTATTAAATACAATAAAAATGGCAAACATTACATAGAAAGGACTTGCAAAGTCTCTCTAGAATTGTAGTTCCTGGAACATTCAAGAGCCCTGCAGCCATTCAGTGGGTAAGAAACATGAGGACTCAGAAGATGGAGTGTGGGTTGATTCTGAGACCACCGGTATCTGTGTGCTGGTAGAGGTGGAGGCATCTCCAGAAATAGTGTACTTATTTATATGGTAGAAATTGAACTTCCAAATCAACCTGAACAAGAGTTTGTAGGTAACAGTATCAAATGCCAAGTGCTACTGTTTCCACTTCAGTACTATGGCTGCTTCTGATTGCTTGATGGTTCTGAAGCTGCCTTACACTGTAATAATTGCATGCTCAAAATTGCACCTGAGACATTACCATACCTGATAAGGCCTTTAATTGGTGTTTTAGAATAATCACTTGGAAAACACTTCCTCATAAAGATCGGTTTCAATAGAAGAGAGATCATGTACACTCCAGAGTTAACTTTTAGAAACGCTATGGACTGCATCTCTTCATCCCTAACCGCCAAGAAACCCAACCACTTCATAGATGTAAATTCCAAAGACTCCCTAATATTCTGGAAGTTTTAGTTTCCCTTTTCAAAAATCCCTTTCTGTCTCTCTATATCTCTCTGTGTATGACTCTCTCTCTTTCTCTGTCTCTCTCCCTCCCTATCTCTCTTCCTTGCTAACTCTCTCCCTCTTTCCCTCTTTCTCCCTGTCTCTATTTCTGTCCCTCTTTCTCCCTGTCTCTATTCTCTACCTCTCTGTCTTTTTCCCTGTCTCTCTCTGACTCTTTCTATATCTCTCTCACTCTCTATCTCTCTCCCTTGCTGTCTCCCTCTCCCTGTCTTTCTCCATGTGTCTCTCAGTCTCTTGTCTCACTCTCCCTGTCTCGATCTCTCTCCTACTCTGTCTCTATCTGTCTCTCTCCCCATCTTTCTTTGTCTCTATCTCTCTCCATGTCTCCCACCTCTCTCCCTATCTCTGAATCTGTCTTCTCTCTGTCTCCCCTCCCTGTCTCTATCTCTATCTCTGTCTCTCCCTCCCCTGTCTCTATCTCTGTCCCTCCCTGTCTCTCTCCCTGTCTCCCCACCTTTCCCTATCTCTATATATCTGTCTCTCTCTGTCTCCCCCACTCCCTCTCTCTCTGTGTGTCTTTCTATCTCTGTCTCTCTCTCCCTGTCTCTATCTCTCTCCCTCCCTGTCTCCCCTCTCTCTGCCTGTCTCTACATCTCTGTCTCCCCTGCTCCCTGTCTCACTCTTTCTCATCTCTCCACACAAGCATGTAGCAGAGCAGATGATTTAGGATCACAGCACTCCTGACCTTGCCCAGGCCTTAAAGCAGTATTTGAATTTGAATAGACTCAGGAATGAATATGATGAATATGAAGAAGGGAGGATGAAATTTAGAAGTAGCAATGAGTCTGAAATCTCTTCTTAGAGACAACTGTCTGAACGTCAGTAAGTACTTTTCATTTTCATTCCAGTTTTTCATTATGAGAGTCTAATGGAATTTAATGCATAAAAAGAAAGGCAAAAACTAAGCTAATCTGTATCACCAAGGGACTTATTAATATTATCACTATGGGTTAAAACTGATAAAATGGGAGAAAAATACAATCCACATGTTGAAATAATCTACTTGGGGAATCATAATAAAATACTAACAATGGAGTCACATAACAGAAATCTATTTCCTCGCATGCTGAAGGAGGAAATCCTCATTGTCACAGCCCACAGGTTTCATGTTCTGGGGAAACTTCTCTTCCTGGCTTCCAGACGACCTCTTGTCTGGTTTTTGTCAGAGCACCAGCCACAGCTGCACTGTGGATTTGAACTTCATATGTAAATCTTGGGCATAGAGAGACAATCCTACATGAATAGCCAAAGGATCGCTCAGCAGAAGTTTCTTCTTTAGGTAATATATGACTGGTTTTCAATTACACTTGGAGCTGGTTCAGAATGTTATCTTTTCACAGATCTCGTCTGCTGCCCATTAAAGACCAACCCCACCTCCTCCTTGCACCTTTTATATCTGTTCTCTAATGTTTCTTAGCATTGGTCTATCTCTAGAGTATAGAGATCCCTCTGGTTGAGAAGATATCCTTTCAGCTTTATGTAGTTATATCATGGAGAATTCTCCATATGAATTCTTTACCACCAGCAACTAATCTCTATGCTTAATTTCTAGTCCTTTTCATTCTTGCATGTGCAGTATAAGACTTTAATATCAGGAAAAATAATAAAACTCTTTTCCTTTGTCTCAGAGCTTCAGAGAGGAAGCTGTGCAGACTTGGCTACAAGATTTTATGTTTGAAACCACACACACTCATGAAAGGTATGCAGTGATTACCTATAGGGCTTAGGGAAGTCAGATTCATGTGCTGTATCACATGAGCCACTCTATATACAATAGTCTGGTAAGTGATGAACACAACCATATAACCCCAAACAGTCTTTTATTTCTGATTCTAGATAGAATTATTCCAGACTAGACAAGGATCCAAAGAAGAGTAGGGAAAATAAGAGTGATCTTATATGATTAGATATATTGTAAGAAAAGGGAAGCCATTTATTTTTACTTTGCCTTATGTTATACATTTGATGTTGGTGTGTTGCCCCCCTTTTCAATTTTGCATATTTAAAATTTCAAACATGAGATCACTAGCATTGGGATTAGGAGAGGGTATTACCCCCATGAATGAATTAATGTCCTCATTCAACTCTCCAGCTTCTGCTACCATATTGATGATAGAATAAGAACATAGCTGTCTGTGAATCAGGAAGCAAGTTCTCACCAGATAACACGTCTACCAGTGCCCTTGACCAAGGACTTCTCAGCACCCAGAGCTGAGAGGACTGTGTTTCTATGTTTATAAGCTGTGCACTCTGTTCCTTTATTCTAGCAGCCTAAACCAAGCAAGGCAGGCTGATTGTGTCTATTGTCTCTTGAGGATTCTTACAAATAATCACAGCAATTATACAAATTATACCATAATTGAAATAATATACTATGTAATGCTCCCTAAGTATTAATTATTGGATTTAATATTTTAAAATTCTAATATGCACTCTTTCAGATTCCAGTGTTGCTGAGAGTTTCCTCTCTCTTAGCGGGAATAAAACGACTTTGAGACCAGTAAATAGTGGAACTTGGACTTGATTACTATGTGCAATACTGTGGTGTCCATTACAATGTTTATCCTATTTAACTGATGGACAACTGTTATAAGTTAGCTAACATAATAATGTATAGTAAGTAGAAAATATAGTGATCATTATGTCAAGGGATTATATGCCTTTATGAGAGTGAGGTTTAACTGTTTCTCAACCTTTCACAACCCATAAGACTCCAATGGAATGGCAGCAACATGTCTCTGTTAGCCATGCTACTGGTGCATTTCTCAAATGTCCTTTCTAAGTAGACATTTGCATACTTGTTAACTCCTGTACAGACTCTCAACTCCTGCTATTCCCTGCCTGGGCTAAGCATGCAGCTCTCTGAGTTGCTGAGGTCTTCGTTGCCATTAACTGTAGGGTAACTACAAGATGTGGAGAGTGAGATTTCACATATTGAATAAGAGCTTACAAAGATAAAGTGGCTTTAGCCTTACTTGGTATTGTATTGGAAATCTGATAGGTTGTGGGAAAGCTTGATACATAAATCTCAAAGGTCAGAGGTGTACTTGGTCAGAAAATGGCATCTTTTCTCTTATAAGCTTCCCTGATTGTCCAATTTTTGCTTTAGAAAAAAATGAGATTTGAAGCTACATGACATCGAGACTCACACTTACTAACTTGGAGTCTTGGTGTTTTCTTTTGTAAGGTGAGGACTACAGTAACAGTAAGGACTACTGCCCTGAAGGTACTGCCTGTGAGATCACTAGCAAATGCTGGGGTGTATGGCACTCCTTTCCCTATGAGCACTTGTCGGTTGGCTCTGGAAACAATGCCCTCCTTCTCAAGATCTGTGGGCTCCCCTTCCCCTTTTGTACTTTCTTCCACTTGATTTCAGCCCAGTTCAAGTCACTGACCTCAGATTAAAATCTTTGAGTCAATCCTTCCCCTTACTGACTGCTTTCAATCAATTACATACCACATCCTGGGAGCATTCTTCCTCCTGGGTGCTTCTATATTCTCACTAACTAGCTTCATTCAGACCATCATCACCTCCTGGGTTAATCTCATCTGAGAACATAACTGGTCTCTATGCTTCTAGTACTAAAGTCCTCAAGCCCATTCTCTAGCCCAGGTTATAAATGTGACCCTGCCACTCTACCACCATAAAAGTTTTATGACTGCCCGTTGCCTAATGGTAGCTAACATTTGCTAAATGCTTGATATCTGTATAGCATTTAAAAAGTGCTTAAGGTGCATATTATTGCCATTCCTCTTACAGAGCGAGGGATTTAAAGCACAGGAGAGTATTGATACACAAGTTGGAAGAATCTGAATTGATTTTAATTTTTTCAATAAACATCATACCTGATACAGTATGCCTTTGTTCCCAATTAACTTGAAAACCTTACCTTACTCTCCCAGCACTAAACTTTTCTTCTGCATTCTTCATACATATATTGCCTTAGAGAATTTGTGCTGTTTCTATGTCTGTAATTCACTTCCTAGGATAATCATCTTCCCTTTTCCTCTGACTCTTGACTCAATGGAATCTTCTCAGTATTCCAACATAGGTATTAAAAATATTCATCATCATTGTATTTCCTGTAATATATAGAGATGTGGGTATGAGAGTAGATAGATGATAGGTAGATGAATGGAGAGATAAATGATACATTGATTGACTAATAGTAGATAGACAGGCAATAAATAAATGGTTAGATAGAAAGATAGATAGATAGATAGATAGATAGATAGATAGATAGATAGATAGATAGATGATAGATAGATAGATAGATGATAGATAGATAGATAGATAGATAGATAGATGATAGCTATGACAGATACAGAAATAGATAATAGATACAGAGATAGATGGAAGATTAATGGATACATAGATAATAGAAAGAAAATAGATATAAATATAAATATATATGTATATTCTTTTCTCTTTGAAAATATATAGACTAATAATGGGGATAATTATGATAATGGCAATCACAGCACCATCAACATAAAGTCACAACTTCAACTCAAAGAGAATATGACATAGTTGCTCTTTTATTCTGGGGCCAAATGTAGGTGATCATGATCTAGAAACACAGATTTAGTCTGCCCCAAAAGCCATATTGCAACTGAGTAATCATTTTAAGAAGTTTTTATAGTAATAAAACAAAGAAATCCACAAATCAAAGTACTTTAAAAATGCATTGGTATAAACACATCAGGTAAATAGGGTATTACAAAGTGGGACAATCTCTTATGCCTCAGATGCTACCTGGAGACATTCTCAGCCTTTAGATTGATAGAAACTAAGAGTCTGTACACTCAAAAAGGATTTATCTATTAGTCACAAGGATTGATGTTAGCTCAGACACAGAGGTGGGCAATGAATGGCTATTAAAGATAGCCCAAGACAATTTATTTCAACACCTGCCACATTATAGATCTCTACCATCACATAATTTCTAATCAATTAATTAGTTTTCTAGCATTTTTAACATAGATGTGATTTTTTTCTAATAATTTTAGTTCACAACACCATATAGCAAAAATATTAATAATAATAATAATAATAATAATAATAATAACAGATAAGTCAAAGAACTAAAAGATGGAGCTTAAATTTCAAATGAGGTAACTCTCAGTGGAATGACCTTTAACTAGAGAACCAAACAAATAAAAATCTCTCTCTTTTTATCATCTCTTTTTTTTCAACTTAAGAAGGCCTCTAGCATGTTGTGATAGCTCAAAATTATTTTAGCTAATCAATTTTTTTTCTAGTTCCACAGGACTGTAGAATTTTTTCTCATTTCTGTAGTGAATATTGTTGGTTATTTGCCTAGGACTATACTTAATCTGTAGGTTGCTTGAGTTACTGTGGAAATTATCACACTATTGATTCTCCCAAACTATGAGCACAGATTACCTTTCTACTTATTTCTATCTTCTTCCATTTCATTCACCATTATGTTATTGTTTCCAGTATATAGATCTGTGAATTTCTTGATTAAATATATTCCTAAGTGTGTATGTGTACTCATGCCCATGAATGCCAAATCTACACACTCAGTATTGTTATGGGATTATTATTTGTTGTTTGGTCATGTTAATTACATAGAAATACTAGAAATCTGATTGTTGCTGTACCCTGAAACTTCACGGAGCCCCAACAGCTGTTAGTGGAGTCCCCAGGTTTTGGTTTTGTTTTCCTTTACTACTTGGATAAATTGTCTTTCTTTTCTTGTCTAATTGTTTTTGACCAAGAAGGAAGATAACTCTTAAACACAAAATGTGGCAGGTACCAATTTCCCTGTAATCCAGCTTGAGATGTCTCACAGATGGATGCCCTTAATAGAGGGTTGAGGCCTAAAAGTACCGTGTAACCTATGTGTGTTTCACTGGCCCAATGTGGCTATATACCTTGAATTCTGTGCTAGTTTGAATGAGAAATGTCTCCTATAATTGTGGGCATTTGAATAATTTTTCCCAGTCAATAGCACTATTTGGGTATGTTTAGGAAATGTGGCCATGCGGAAGAGGTTTGTCACTGGGGACAGGTTTGGAAACTTCAGAGCCTAGCATCATTTCCAGTTCATTCTCTACTTGTGTGTGAGGCTGAAGGTGTAAGTCCTCAGTTTCTCTCCAGCTAATATGCCTACCATCTGCTGCCTCTACTATTCCATTATGGATTATAACCCTTTGGAACCTTAAGCCCACATGAACTCCTTCTTCTATAAGTTGTCTGGGCCAGGTGTTTTATCACAGCAAAAAATAAAGTAACAAATACAAATTTTAAGAGCCAAAGTTACAAGCAAAACCATACCATATTGGATCTATATTGCTTTGAGTAAACTCTCAAAGTGAAAGTCCATGTTCTGTGGGCATTTGAGAATACTTAGTAGGCTTTTTGGAAATAAGTAAGATTCTTGGCAAATGGAATAGAGTGATCTGAAAAACACTTCAGGAAAATCAAGCTTGCCGCCATGTGTAGGAAGAATTAGAGTGAAAGATACAAATAAGTTGATCAAGTGGTTAGATGGTAATTTTTGCAATTTTTTTAAAAGAGGAAGAAATGAGATTTCTAAGGGATTTGTTAACTGTATTTTAAGTTTTCAAGTTCTGTTACAAAAATTTGGATTTTCCAGAGAAGAGACTTCCAAATAAAAAACTTGTTTTCCTTTGGAAAAGAGAAAGAAGTTTTGGATGATAATTATCTTCCTGGGGAGAGTGAGTAGGATTCTGGATCTTTGTAGGAAAGATTGCTGGTACCTCATAATCATTACCCAATTCTCTCACTAGAAAAGAATCACAGTATGACTTCGAGATGATACAGATAAGTCCAAATAAAAGACATCTTTTCTTACATCTGAATGTAATAAATGTAAAAAGATCACAGCAATGAAAACAGTAGAAATATCTAGAAAGCTGATAAAGAAAGCTGCCTTTGCTACAAACCAAGATCTTTTGTCCTTTATGGCTTTGTCCTTTGGGCTAGCATGGAATGTTGGTGTGATATTGTTCTAGCAGCTATCTTGAGAAATTATTTAACCTTGTAGATGTAAGCCATATGCTGATGGTAGTGAAGCATAAAATGAGCCCTGAGCATTTCTTTAACATGAGAAACAAACTCTTTTCTTGCTTTAAAACATTTCCTACTACATCAAGCTGAACTCAATCTTAACAAGGAGGGCCACTTTGCAAAGCAACCCAGAGAGGTTGGAATTTAACTCCCTTAATATACTTTCTAGGGAACCATCCATGGTAAATAATCTGAACAACAGACTCCAGTGTAACACTGTACCCCTATAGGTTCCAGCTGTGAAATATACACTGCATAGTCCCCATGAAGATGACACTGTTTTCTCAATCCCATGTCCAAAGATCCTCTTACATCCTCCCTCTTGCCAACTTTGTCATCATTACCTTAGTCCCATTCCAAGACTCAGGGGACTAGAGAATGTGCTGGGAGATTGAGTCTCCTAATAATATTAGTTGCTATTACCCTAAGGTATCACACCAACATGATCAGAAAAAGGATGACACCAACAGACCTGTTAACTTGGACTTGGATAGGAGAAAATCCAAGAGGTCTCAACCTTACACAATGAGCTACAGGCAACTGAAGAATTCTGAGAATAGGAGAAACAGTCTTCTCCAGGGGAGAAGCCACCAAATGGTTATCCAACAGAAAGGTCATTTCTGAAAACATGTACATACAAGTAACATTATACATAAGGAGCAGGTTGTATTTATGTATTTACAAAAAATATTTTAAAAAGAAAAATGCCTGTTTTAGTTGTACATTCAAGATGTTAAAGAACACATTGAGTAACCTTCAGTGTGTTGTCATTATTTGCTTACAAGCTAACTCAATGTCGGTGTTTTCCTTGGAACATCACCACATACTCCCTGAATGAGAACATGATTCCAGGAGCTCATGGGCTATGCTGTGAGAAACACTCCTCTGAGAAAGAATTTGCCTATTTCTTCCCTCTTAGAAGAATCCCCACTTTTTAACTCCTAAGATCTCTGGTGGATGATGCCAGATTCTAAGTAATCCTTCCATACAGATCCCAGAGTTGAGCCTGGGAATAAAACAAATGGTTTCCCATTGTAGTTTCCTTTCCTCCTGCTTTGGTAAAAGTACTCAGACAATGAGAACTTAAGGGAGACAGGCTTTATTTGGCACACACATCCAGATTACAGTATCATTGCCGAGAAGTCAAGGCAGCAGGGACTGGAAGCAGCTAGTCACATTACATTCACAGCAAAGGACAGTGATGCCTACATCCTAGTGTTCATCTCATTTTCTCCACTCTTACACAATCTAGGATCCTGTGACCAGGGAATGATGACACCCCAAAGTAGTAGAGTCTTCCTACCCCAGTTAACCTAAACAAGATAATCCCTCACACACTAACCTAATCTTGACAATCCTTCAGTGAATCTTCCTTCCCAGGTTACTTTAGGTTATGCCAATCTGACAATTGAGACTATTCTTCACATTATCAGTCCATGACTTCATAACCTTAGAATGTGGACGGTTCACTGAAATAGCCTTTTCTTGGTGTTTGAAGACAAAAGATATGAAACATTGCTAGTGTTAGTGGCAATAATTTCTGAAAATAACCAAGAGACAGAAGTGACCAGTCTTCAGTAAGAATGATCAAGAGATTAAGGGTGAGTAGAAACTTAATGTAAATGTTCAAATAAACATATTCAGGTTTTCCACATGTTTAGCTATAGTCATGTGATGTCCTTGAATACCAGAAAATATTTATTGTCTCCACTGGAGAAACCCCTCTCACATGAAGTCTTATTGGTATTTATTTCTTGTTTTGTGAGACAATGTTTGATATAAATCAGGCTAGATTCCAACTCACTAGCTGAGGATGACCTTGAACTCCTGATATTTCTGCTTCCATCTCTCAAGTACAGGGACTACAGACATGCCACTACACCCAGTTTTAAGTCTTTTATTTAAAGAGAGGTGAGAACTTCCATCTCAGTACAAACTTAAAGCCATATATTAGCACCATCTGCAGTTTCTCAGTGTTGGGATGGTTTCTCCCGATGGCCTTCCCACAAGCCATTGCAA